GGGCTCTTCCAAACAGGCAGATTGCTTTCTAGAAAAAGAGAGGGAGCTAGTTTGAAAAAAGCCCCGGTTCAAAAGCTGTTCAGCAGAATTTTACTCTTTTAGGACTGTTAATAATATTTGCCATTATTTGTTCTAGTATTGTATTTATCAATTCAATTCAGCCATATTGAAGGCTTGAAATAGACAGTTTACACAGTATTTTGCAGTTTTATTTATGTATAGCCAATTTTTTGTCATGTGGATGAATGAAGAACAAGGGAACCCAAATTGCAGGACTGAAAATCAAAGTAATTTAATAAAATAAATCCAAGGTAATGTAAAAACAGAACTGAAGCCAGGACAAACGTGGTGGAGACAATGGACGGACAACAAGAGAGGAAGGGCACAGGGTATATATACACACACAGGGACACACAGGTGAATCACATTAGGGCGGGGCAACAATCAACAGGACAGGCAGGATTCAAACTCAACCAGGTCAAAATGTCCACACCATGACATTTTTAGGCTTTGAAGATAGAGCTGTTTGGATTTTATGTCTAACTTTGATGTTTACATTTTTCAAAAAAATGTTATATACTATTTTAGACCAATGGAGTCTATTTGTATTGTATAGTAAGGTCGACCCACTGTACTCATATGAGGACATTGATTTTTGAGAGAAGTACTAATTGGATCAAGCTGAAATTTTGAATTTCAACTAATTAGGACCTTCCGGCCTCAAAGAGCATACATTTTTTCTTTAGGTTATGAGAGACCCACTGTCCTCATACGAGGACATGTTTTTTCTCAAAAACTACTTCCTGTACAAAATCACAATTTAGGTATTATACTTATTGGGTCCTACTTATCCTAAATAGCAAAAAAATATATAAAATGCACACCAGACAAATGCTCGGGTCTCAGGAGGATAACAAATATGGACGAACTATCTAAGTAAACCTTCCTTCCCGAAATCGTGTGAGGAACAGTAGGCCTACAGCAACTTACTTCTTGAGTCACAAAACGCACAAACAATAAACAAAGTCCTCTCCTCCGTGGCAGCGTCAATATGGCACCACCATGGATCTATTATATTAACTGGATAGGGCATTACTAGCTTGTAGCTGCACTGTAAAAAAAGACTGTAAAATTTACAGAAAAACTCTGTGAAATCCCTACAGTTTTGTATGGTAAAACAAAAAACAAAGGAATTTTGTTGAAATCACATACATTATTTGTAAACAATGTAACAAATAATAAATGTAGTGTTTACAGGAACGAGATGCCATTTTAATCAAATATATTTGTTAAAAATACATCTTACGGTAATTAAAACGGTTAAATATTGTAACACCAAAAACGAAATTATTATGTTGACATTACATTAAACATTTGTAAGAAAATACATTTTTGCCAGTTATTTCAAAAGCATTCCAGAATGTAAGTGACTTTACATTTTTGGTTGATACTTTCAACATGTCTGTTAAACAGTGAACATTGAGATCAAATGTTTTTCATCACGGTTTTTGTTATAATTTTAAATGCAGCATTTTGGAAGTGTATCACTTAGAATACAGAAGTTACTTCTCTAATTATGATGGAACAAAAGACCTCGTACAAAACCTCCTGTATATGTTTTAATAACAGATATAATATAAAGCTTTATGATTTATCACAGGCTGAATAACTAACAAGGCCGAATGCTATAGCTCAATGTGCACTTTTGAAATTTGTATTCTTTGTCCACTATAAAATAAAAACCACATGTATTGTTGTTTTATGAATAGAAAATAATAATAATAATTATTTTATTTAATGTATCTTTACACGTGTATCCATCATGATCTAACCCTTTACTCAACGATATGATAGTTTGTGAAAATGTTGTATTTCAAAATTCAAAGTCCGCAGATCGTTTTTGATTGGATAACGACTGTGGGCGGAAGCAGCAGGAGAAGCACGCGCTGCGCGCGCTCCCCATTCGAGCTCCACGTCCTCGCACTGACTCTGATAACGCTACAACGAGCCCACGGACTACCAGAGAACAAAGTGCCGAGCTTTTCGCTGTCAGCCTGCTTTATTTAGTTGGATACCTTTCCATAGTCTTTTTGACCCGTGTCTGTTGCGGAAATTTGAGAGTTTGACCGGTAAGCATTTACATTTGTTTTAGCACATGGTGTAAGGTGGTGTAAGCTAGCGTGGTGTAAGCTAGCGCGGTGGAGGCTAGCACCTTCAGTCGCAGTTTATAACCAGTTTATAAATTACTTTGAGCTCATGTGAGAAATTAAACATCATTTTCGCAATGATCACGTGCTTCTTTTGTAGAAAGACTTTTGCCTCGTCTAAAGCCAATGTCCTACATTGCAGAGTACACAGAAATGAACCTCGTTGTGTGTTTAAAGATCAACTAAACACCAGTGCCCAGCCTGACTCCGCCCACATGAACATTTGAAAATTCTCCCCAAAATGGGCGTTGCCCAGGAGGACCAAGGGACAAGAAGGGGGGCTTAGAGTTGGGCGTGGCGTGGGCTTTGATTGACGGCTCTCTTGTAACTATGGAGAGTGACAGTGACAGCAGCTTCGCGACCGAGCGCTCTTTTGAGGTGGAGGACTTTTCTCCGCCTTCATCACCAGAGGTGGAAGTGGAGGAGGTTAATGTGGAGGAGTCCGGCGGCCCTGAGCCGTACATGTTTGAGCCGATGGCCACCGGTGCAGCTAGCACTGACGAGCCTTCCGAGGCATCAGTGCAGCACAGAATGGGTCCCGTTACTGAATGGTACATTGGTGTTAGCATTATTGCTAATATTTTTATTTGATGTAGAACAAAAGAGATGGATATTGAGGTTAGGGTTACACACACATGACTCTGCATCAACAGGTGTTTGTGTGGAAACTGCACATCATTATCCCCAGAAGAGAACGTGTGCTGTAGGGAGACACCAAAGGTACAATAGAATAAAATTAAATAAGACATAATTATACAAATCATATTTTCCTCATTAAGTTCCCTATTTGTGGTAGGTAATGCACAGATGTCAGCAGGTGGGTGTAAACACCTGCATTACGGAGCACCCGGGGTTTGAGGCAGTTGCCCTCAGCCCATATGTGCTGCAGGCAGTGTATGGCACATACTTACAGCTCTTTGGTGACATGCCAGAGACGATGGTGCACAGGTTAGTTTTTGCAGGATAATTGATTAACAATTAGGTGGTTGACAACCCATACATCTCTTCTTTCAGTAATTACCGGCACCTTGCGTACCGGAATGTGGTCAGGTGGTGTTGGGGTTACCTAGGCCAGCATATCAGAGTCGTGATCCCGTCCTGTGCTGTGACCCGTATCAGGCTGGAGTTCCCTGATTATGTGGCTTACACGGGGTTCCTCCCTGTCCTGAATTTTCATGGCCAATAAACATCAATATAAACACAAATGCCATTCTGAATTTTTTTATTGCTTGTCTTAATTTTTTTCCTTCAGATCTTATAACGTGCATATTTGTACATACAATAAGCATCCAAATATAGATTGGTGCACCAGTGGAAAAAATATATTAACAAATATACAACAATATACTTTGTCATATTTATATATACATTGAGCATTTAAACCACGATTGTACAGTATCTAAATGCAAACATAGATAATTGAAGTTTTTGGATGTTGAATGTGGGAATGTTCACAAGCCACTGACATTTATCTCACAACACACCAGTTGATAATAAAACCTAACAAATACTGATGGATAATGGACTGAGAGCAAGTTTAGGCACTGTCACAGCAAAAGCATGAACGCCACACTCCCTGGACCCAGTGTCAGGTGACATCACAGCTAAAGGCCTATAGGATTATATAGTAATGAGGAAGTGTTGGTCTTGTACAGAGAGATCATGGACCCAGTGACTGATTATGTTTTAAATTATATTGATTATTTTTTAGATACGACTTTTGAAGTAATGCTGTTTATAGGAAATACCCACTAGACCCTGTGACAATCACATTTCAGAACCTGAAAGCAACCAATTCCCCAAAAAAATCACTTTACCCCTACATTACTAACAAATCTATATTCACAATCTACACTTGTATACATTTTGCGGCTACAGTGGTGCAGAGTAGAGCTGGTCATCTTGTGATTGGAGAATTGGCGGCTCAAATCACGCAGGTGCACACTGTCCTTGGGCAAGACACTTCACCCTCTTTGCCTCCATTGTCTGCATTCACTGGTGTATGGATTGGTGACTGGTTCCTCGATGTCAAGTTCTTAAAGAAAGTAGAAAAGGTGCTATATAAATGTGACAATTTGCATTCAATATGTATCTAGTGTGCAATACAGCAATTAAATGTATTACGAAAATTGATCAACACTACATTATCATCAATGTTGGCGGTACCTGAGAGTGAGGTCCATCCTGTCTTCCCACACCTCTGGTTCATAGTTAGATGTGTGTCCTGGCTGACTCATGTCTGCTTTCTGAAAATATTTTAGTTCTTATTGGCATGCAGGCATGTCAGAAAAAAGCTATAATAGAACGATGATAATCTTGCATAGTGTTCAGTGAATAAACATATGAACAATAGAATGTGTACATTATAACACTATCAGTCATGCAAAATAAGTTAGTGACCCCATATATTTATATTCTGGATATTCTTGTTGTATGTGATCTTCTGGTGTTTGTTTTTCACCTTATTTGCTCTTGAAAAATCGTGACCTGTGCCTGCTCACTGCCTCCTTTTTGTCAGGCCTTTCATACTGGCCACAGAGTGGTTCAGGCACATGTATTTTGTCCGAGTGCTCTTGATACGGCACTGTATCCTGCACCACACACTCGAACAGCAGAGTCATCAGCTTATCAATGTAGACTGGGGAAAAAATACAACATAAATATTATAACAGCCCTCATTCATAACAGTCAAGTTTCTTTCATGACATACATGTGGGAATTTGGTCTTCAGAGCTCTCACAGTATAGTCGCCATGTTTATATTTAGGATACACTATGGAGTACCTCAGCTCACCAGCAGCAGTTCTGGCGTGTGTGCGTGTCGCGTTCTCATTATAGTGCAACGCTGAGATTTGTAACCTAGAACAATCAAAACAAAAATAAGAAAACAGTGATGTTATTTGGTTCAGTTTCAAAAAAATATATAATGAGGGAATAGAAATAAATACTTTTACAAGGTTTTGGTATTCATTACCTGGCCATCATTCCTTTAAAGGAGAAGCACACACTTTTCGGAGAGAACCTGATGATGAGGCTGTGAAATGCCTCAATGTAGGACGTGTGGTAAAGTGGGCTGATTTTCTCCACGTCCTTCAGAAACCTCGGCGCCAGTAAAATGGCCGTTAGTCTTTCGCATGCTGCTGTGCCTACACACAAAATGATCAATGGAAATGTATTTTGGATTAGAAAGAAAATGCAAAATGTCCAAGATAACTAAATATATAATCAAAGAAAAACTGTCATTACTAACTTGGCTTGAGCCACTCCCTTGCTCTTTCCCCAACCAGTGGCTCGTGTTGGCAGCAGGGGAACAGGGCATTATCATGCGCGTGAATATTTTGTATGTGGTTGGCTACAGAGGTCCACTTGGCCACAGCTTCTTCTCCTGAGGAGGAAGTAGAGGCTGACCAGTAGAGGTGATTCACCACGCTCTTCCTCCATTGGCCCACATCCTGAGTGATCTTTTTCTTTGCCAGTCCATCTATTTTCTTCCCCATTCCTATGACATTTTTTTTATTACATGGATTAGATCTATATTATCTGTTAATTATACGCTAAATACATACCCTTTCCCATGTGCCAAGGGCAAAAATGAGTGAGTGATGTCTTTTTTTTCCTCCCTTAGGTACTTCTGCACTCCTGTGTGTCTGTCCGTCACAATTGCCTGTACTTTCACACCCTTCTCTTCCAGCATGGTCAGACTGCGTATAAATCCTTCCTTCTCCATCCTTACACTGTTCCCAACTTCACTGCTCTGAAATACAACAGAATTATCTACATAAATGCGCCAAATGATTCCCAATTAATTGTTCAAATGTAAACATGGTGGTGTTTTACCTGGATAAGTTGGATGTCAATGACGCTGTTACTTTGCAGATTCATCATGGTGTAACTACCGTATTTAGCTGAATGTCCTGTAGAAATGCACATTACACTTGGCAAACTATTATTTAAAACATAAAAATCTTTGTTTATAAAGAAAATATTTACCTGGAGAGTCAGCACGCATATCCCCACCCAGTGTCAAAGGCCCACCAGTAGCTGCCTCCCTGATTTTTTCGTCCTGCTCAAGCTTCCACTGCCAGCTGACCGTCGGGATGAGGAGCTTGGCCTGATGCTTGTAAAAAGTTTGCTCTGACAGTCCTTGAATGTTGAAAGCCCTCAGGAACTATGCAATATAAAGTAATATTACCAACTGACTGTTATGGAAACATTGTCAATACAGATAAGACGATTTATATACCTTGGAAATCTGACCAAAACACGAGCCAGTGAAGAGGACAGCAGCACAAAGCTGAAGATTTCCAGCTGGTATATCCTTCACCATGGGCTGACTGGACCAGTCATTGAAGTACTCACATGCTGGACACTGCTGTTTCACTCGGAGGAGTGTGCCCAATGTGGTTGTCTCAACTGTACAACGACGAGTGCAGACAGGACATTTTTGAAAGAGCGACAGCAGTTGGTCCTCATGAACAATGTACTTTCTGGCTTTGTGTGGAGGGACTTCCGTTGTAGCGCTATTATGTAGGAAGAGGCAAATGTAACCATTTAAGAGAATACAATATTTTCCAAGGTATATTTTTAAATAATACACAAGCATTCTTTTCCCCCATACATTTTTACCTTGAACAGTTCAGAGAACTGTCGTTCAGATGGAAGCTGGGGTCAGATGCAGACACCTCACACTTTTTTCTTTTCAAGGGTGTAGAGGCTGCAAGGGGACTTTCAGGAAGTGGGATTCCCATGAAGGTCCCTGTATCACAGGAAACGCTGACGCTCTTATGTGGAGCCTGCACCTGCAAGCCTGTTTAAAAGAACACAGATAAACACATTATTAATAGCACTCATAAATGGTTACATTAGCATCTAACAGCGAATCCAAAGTAAAATTAAACTCTTGTACTAGTGAATAATACAGACTGTTATAAAAGACAAATAACCTTTGCTGCGCCTGCTGGGCTTAACATTGGCCTGGACACAAGCGTGCCTGCTGATGATTGGATCCGTCTGACAGGCCATTTCTCTGGTTGCTTTAGGCTGAAAACATAAGTAATAATATTAGTAATAAGTAATAGTAGTAAGGGAGGAAAGACTTATTTGTATAGTGGTATAGTAAGACTAATTTCTACAGTGTGGATGTTTCTTTGTAGTTTTGATCAGAGTAGTTTATGATCCCAGAACTACCTTGAAGCTTGTGCGCCAAGACCCACGTCTATTGTACATCTATTAAACAGGCTTTCTGCTAAATATTATGGTACATGACATGTGGAGTATTGGGGTAATATGTTACCTGGCTAGGACCTATTGTGAGTGCTTATTTACGACGGAGATGAGGTCACGTGCGCTATAAAAATGTCCTAGCCAGGTAATAACAGGGCATAACAAAACAAAACATCCATATAAATCCCCTTACATTAGCACACCTACGTGGACGTGAGGGAAGATAAAAACAAACGCAAGTGACAGTCATGTCCTGGAGATCGCGTTGTTACAGCATAAACTCGTTACAAAAGCTAGCCCCTTCGCTAACACACTGGACAACAAAACCATGTAAGGTAATATACCGCGCTAACTACCGCGGACCTGCACAGTTTCCTCTCGGTCACAAGTCTACAGTCCGTCACCAAATGTCTCCAACAAAGACACAACATTATTATTATTATTATTACTCATTGTTTTTGCCCACTCACCTCAGAGTGGCGCCCGGAGTCTCCGTGGCTGGGGCAGCAACGTCGGGAGCTCCTTCCTCGCTCGTGGAAGACCAAGAGTGGGAACAGCCTCGCTCTTCAGACGGAGCTTCGTAGTGAACCCCAGCTCAAACTGAATCAAGTTGTCGAAGGAATCACGCGCAAAATGGTGGTTGCAAACTCCAGCATGAGGCGGGAGTTCGCAGCTATCCCCCAGGCCAATTACGCGGTACCACTGGCGCCTAAAGTCTAAGTCCTGTGGAAAGTAATGTAATCCTACAGTACTTTGACAGCCCACCACACTACATTTCTCCCCCATCCTAACAAACAAGACAACTAACACAAATACTAATACACAAACACGGACAACAACACCTAGCCTATACAAAGCCCTACGTTAATCTACAAGTAACACACAATGACTAAATTAAACTATACTCACGCAACTAAACTACCTGACTACCTGTGACTACACTAGAAACGCTACGCTAAAGAACTAACTAAATACTAAGCTAATAAATTGCTAACCTGAAAATCGATGTAAAATGCTCGCTCACAATTCCAACTCCAACTCGCTACGGGGGCGTGTCAGAGACCCGCGGGCTTTATAGCAGAGGCTCAGGAAGACCTGCGTCACAGAAAACTAGGGAACTCAAGAGCCAATGGAGAGTCCAGGAACGAAATTCAAATGTAGTGACACGGAAAACCATAGAGAGGGCGCCACACAGACGGTTTAGGCTCAAAAGTGAGATTTTAACTAATTTGGATTAAAATGTCAAATATATGGCCAGGACATGTAGGGAGCACTATAGGAAACATATTTAGGCAGTGTATAAGTAAAAAAAAGTTGATTTGGTGTTTAGTTACTCTTTAAATGTGTTGAGTCCAATTGTATTCAAACATTTACAACGTACTCTGCTTTTAGGGGACACTTTTATCGCCTTCACAATGTACATTTTTAGTGGTACTTGGCATTTTAAAATGCGCGGTTCCCTTGTGTGGCCGCCATTTTGACACTGTAAAAGAGCTTGTGTGCCATTTAAAAGATCACTTTGGAGAGGGCAGGTCTGTGTCTTGTCCAGTGAAAGGCTGCAACCACGCTTTCACAAAAAAAAATCAACATTTACTTCTCATATGAGTAGAAAGCATACTGCGTGTTCCCCTGATGGTATTGGTGACATGTATAGATAAGATGTGCTTTATTTATCTCACATAGAAGAAATTTACATGTCACATTTGGCATGGATAGACAATCAGATTGTGCAAAAGGAGAAAATGTGCAACATGTTACATACTGGATATATATGTATATATCCAGTATATATGTGTAAAACGAGAGCCTGTGCGTAGCACTTAGGCTTTTTTCCGTCCTTCTCTTCTTACAACGTGGTTATTTACACACAGATTGTTCTGTTACAGATACAAATGACAAATTACACACACACAAATCTGGGTACAGACACACACAGTCCAAGTTACACTTGCGAATCTGCCAAGGCAAAAATATATATATATATTTTTTCACACACACAAATATTATTGAAACAATAATAGCTCTATAGTTTTAACTCTAAATAGTACCTGTTCATTAATGTATTTTACCTTCTCCCTTAGTAAATAATGAGTGACTTTCTGGATCAAGCCATCTTTGAGGTCCTACCAGATCTTCCTGCTGTAACAGGCCATTGGAGTAAAGACTTATGACGATCCCCGCTTCATAAAGGATGAAGATTTGACAGCATTAAGACCTGTACAAGCGAGGCGACTCCTTTCTTTTTGGAAACAGAAATGTAAGTAATTGAATCATTTCAAAAATTTTATGACCGCAGTTCAGGACATATTTTGTTTAGATTTCCTAAGTGATTTATTTGTATTTTTTTATAGATCAAGCACCTGAGAACAGTTCATCATCTGTGGAAGTCTCACCTGCAAGATCTTTATCATTCCTCTCTGTTTCACCTCAAAGTTCATCGTCAACCTCCTCCAGCAGCTCAGGAATCACCACGCAGTGTGGAGACTTTGAAATTCCATGGCAAAAATTCCCTGATGATTTGGTTCAATGTTTAGAAAGGGGAAAACGATTGAATCCAAAACTTAGATGGAAGATGATCCGGATTGTTGTGACCGAGATGATGGAAAAAGGTCCACGTATTGGAAAAAAGCAAGCAGTAGATGTGGTAAAATATCCTAACTCTCTCAAAGATATTATAGAGGGGAATGTCGTTGGGACTGGTTACTACTCTCTGGTTAAACAATTGCAGAACAGAATCGAAAACGTGCAGCGTAGCTCAACACCCAAAATAAGAAAAAGAAAACGTCAAGCTGATGATTCTGACCACACTGATGAAATTCCAATCGAAGAGACTGCATCAATGCAGGATACCTATGGCTGCATTAAGTGGAATGTTAAATGTATGCCTCTTGAGGAAACAAAAGAAAGCCAGCAGCAAAAGATTGAAAAACTCAAGACGATGAAAAACAGTTCAAATGTTAATCCAGAGGAGGTGGAAGTGCCTAATGAAGTCCACCTATTACACACAGCGCCTCCATGTCAACCAGGGAAAAAGTATAAGACACCTGTGTGATGAGTGGCCATTTTTGTTTAATGAACGTGGCATGTCCATCCACTACAAAGAGCTAACTGGTTTAGATCTTCAAGAGACATTCACACGAAATTTGGATTTGAAGGGGAAAAGGCTTCTCAACTACATGACCACTGTTTGTGTGAAAAAAAGTGACAAATTCCTCCAAGAATATGCAAGGCCTCAGACGCTGCGAGGACAACAGACGTGAAAGAGATGATCCTGCTTCTGCTCAATTATTTTGATGAGAAGGAGGAGTCTTATGTTCAATTATGTAGACGATACATGTCTGGCTGAAGAAGTCCAGCTGGAACAACTGCCATTGACACCAGCCGTTGTTGTCTGTGGTAAGTATGCTTCATTTTGGTTTTACGCGGCATGTACTTATGAATAATAATTCCAGTTCACAGGGCAGTCCTGCTATTCAGCCACTAGGTACATGCTGAGTGTAGACCGGGAGATCACAAATGGAACCATCTCTTCATTCATATCTGCTCTGTGCCTCATGTTTGGGAGCTTCTACTGCTTCAATATACACTATCCGTCTGGACTGGGTTCCACTCTTGAGTTTCTTCAAAGGTGAGCAAGCAATCATCTGCTTCAAACTATCTGTCTCTCTATCCATTTATCTCTATTTTTCTATATCTCTGTCTCTATCTATATCTATCCATATTTCTATCTCTATCAAAATCTCTCTATACCTCTATCCATCTCTATCTCTCTCTTTCTTTCTTTCTCTCTCTCACTATCTCTCTATCCATCTTTCTCTCTATCCATCTATATCTCTCTCTCTCTATCCATCTATCTCTCCCTCTATCTCTCTCTATCCATCTATCTCTCCCTCTATCCATCTCTCTCACTCTCTCTCCCTCTATCTCTATCCATCTATATCCCTCTCTCTATTTATATCTCTCCCTCTCTCTCTCTCCATATCTCTCTCTATCCATCTCCCTCTATCCATCTCCCTATCTCTATCCATCTCTCTATCTCTGTCTCTATCTCTATCCATATCTCTCTAAATCTCTCCTCTCTATCCATCTCTCTCTCTATCTAACATCTCTCTAGCTCTCTCTATCTCTGTGTACCAAGAAATATGCAAATTTATTTATTTATATATATATTTTTTATTATATATTATTATTTTAAATACATACTTTCTTTTACCAATGCATTTCAAATGCTTATTTGGTTCAATGTATTTTACAGATGCTTCTTCTCCATAAATCCTGAAAAAGGAACCAAAGTGGAGAATAACAAGAGACATCTCAACATGAACCCCCGAGTACTCGCCCTGATACAGGAACTTTCTGACCATGAGTGGCGTTAAGCAGATGTGGACTTTTGGCTGTTCTTTGATGCACTTTTGTTAAAGCAATTGTTTGTTTGTATAATTGCATCCTGCTGATGTGCATGTTGTTGTTCAAGAGTCATATTTGCATAGGCCTTTAGTCTATGGGTATTGTGTTCTAAACCAGTTGTCTGAATTTATGTCCAAAATAGACAAAAATGAGAATTTGAAAAGGTATTTAGTTCTGTACTGACAACAGACTAGACTAGTTTACCGCTAAAACCTAGTTCACTGATACCTGGCTCTGTCATTAGTTTTCATACATGTTTGACAAGTTGGTCTGTCACATTTTAAGAAGGGCTTTTTCAGAGAGAAGAGTGAAAAAGAGGACCACCCTCACTCCAACAGCTCTCAGCAAAGGGATCTTTCTTGCAAGTCTGTAAAGCCTAGTATATTTTCCAATTAGATGAGTAGGATGTTGTGGTTTTTTTTTTATCCCAAACGTAACTCTTCTTGATTGATGCAAAAAATGTTTACAATGCTGGCTGCTAAATAAATGTGATACTTTACATTTATGTGGTATTTTTTTGGGTTGGTAGATTCTTTTCAGTGTATAATTTGCTTATTAGAACATGGAAACATTGTATATTATTCAAGGATTTTATGTATTAAATGCAGAACATCACATTACAAAAAACTTACTTTTACTGTAATTCTACCAGTTAAGTCCCTGTAAATTTAACAGGTGTTTGATGCACAATAAGCACATATTTTCTGTATAATACACAGGAAACTGTTAGTCTAAATACAATACAATTATGCTATTATAACGTTCTTTAACTGACAACTTAACAGATTTTTTATGTGGTTCCGCTTGACATTTAATCACTGTAAATTGATTTACAGTTCTGTATATAAACCTATTTACTGTGCAACTGTATTTTTTACAGGAATTTCCTGGTGACTCCAGCTGCCAGCGATTTCCTGTAAAAAACACATTTTTTTTTTTACAGTGTGAATAACTCACGTGCTCAGGGGATTCTCGCGGTACTGCAGACTGAACCAGACTAAATTCACGTGGACTACCCAGAAATTTTCCCCATAGAACTCAATGCATATTAAAACAGCTCAACCTCAGCTGACAGAGAACCTACAGATTTCATAAAGGTCGGATTTTGTGGGGATTTTAGTGTCCCTTGTCATCCTGAACTTTTTTTCTTCTTAAATCCTTCGGTTTTGTTTAAATCCACACTTTAGTGCCACAAACTCTGCTCGTCTGGCTCTTGCTCTAACTCCCGCTCTGATGAACTGCTCTGATTGGTCAGAGCGCGGCCGAGCCCCTCTGTGCACGTGCGTGAGACCCGGTGTGAGACCCACACACGCGTGTTTGGCGCAACGCATTATGGGAGATCATCCACTGCACAGAACCGGGAGGACCAGACGATGCCCAAATACAGGCCAGTTTCCCATAGATCTTTGCGAGTTTCAGGCAACTTCCGCTAATCTTTCAGCCTCCATGCCGTCACAAAGCGCCACTGAGCACAACCATTCATTTGAATAGGGCGCCATCTTGGATCGCCGGGGCTTGGGCACCACACAGTCTGTGCTGTGAACGCGCGCCGCTCCCGTGGTGAGGCGTTGAAGTACAGACGTCAAGATGAGTGTCGCATAGGCTTTCAGACAATTGGAATCTTTAAGGGATTAAAGTATTTTACCATATTTCTCTCCATCCCGACTGCGCACTTGATCCTCAGGCAAATTGTATCCATCTGAAACAATCTTCTCATCCTTCACAATGCAGGTCCCCATCTGTAAAAAGTGTGTATTTTAGTAACTGTCGGAAAAGAAAGAAATTATTATATTAGCACCACAAACAATGTGTATCATTATTCTGAACTGGAAGGAAGAGGCAGGAGGCAGAGGAAACAGCAGCCAGTCCTAAGTATCTCTGAAACTGGTGTTTATTGTGGGGTTCATGGTTTTAAACTGATCCAGACCAAAGTGGAGAGGATGGTGCCAACCAAGCAGATCATCTTTAAATCCACCTCTGCTGCTGTGACCTAAAGTAAGTGAGTAGGTCATCTTTGTACATACTTTACTATCTTTATTTAATCTTTCACAGACTATAGAGTCACAAAGCACTTTACGATTGTTGTGGACATTTGTCTGTCACTCCACACAGAGATGGAGTGATAGTCATCACACAGGAGGCACATGCCAGACCTATTGAACATGTTTTTAGTGGTGGGGGAATCTGTAACCACATAGAAAGGCCCGGAGACGGGATCAAACCCAAGACCATCCTGCTGTGAAGCACAATCGCTAACGGCTGCGCCACCATGCTGAAGGGGTTAGCACTTTTTGCACTTAATTACTATTTTAGTTACTTTAGAAATATGTATTTATGTGTTCATATGGATGACAGGGAGAGGAGCTCAGTCCCTCCATGTCAAGAGGAACCAGTTGATGTGGCTTGGGCACGTCCAGGAGGCCAGGGAAAGACCCAGGACTCATTGGAGCTGCTGGAGGAAGAAAATGGATGGATGGATTAGTGGGGAAGACCCACTTTCACCCAGTGAGGAGCTCCTTTAAAGGTCCCGGATTGTGCTCTTCATGTTTCACAGTTTTGCATAAATAAAAACATTTATAAATAAATGTGTACATTTTGTATGTATAAATGATTATACTGTATATATATATATATATATATTCCTGTTCTGCTGTTGGACTCATGAACACTTCATAAACTGTCCCCCCGCCCTTTTTAAAGTCACCTTGGAGCCCTTTATAAAGTGACTTTACTGCTGTCACCTTATTGCGCTGCTTACTGCATATGTGCGCACCATGTGCACTTGTATATTGTATATAATAAATTGTAAAAAATAAAAAAAATTATATCTTTGAAGTGTATGCTGATTTTTATTGTGCCTAGGGAACAGTCACTTAGGTTTTTACAAACAAACTAGGCCAAGTGGCCCCGATCGTCGCAACAGGGGTGTGAAGACGGCCCGCGGTCACAAGCGTGTGCCAGACCACACGCTGTAGTCCAGTAGGTGGCGCTAATACTAACTCCAGCGACGACCTCGTTTTTCAAGTTAAGTTTAGTTTCTTTTCCTGTTTGCTCTGCTACTCTGCTACTGTAGCTAACAGCTCGAGTATGGACCGGGTTGTTTGGGGAAAGACATCTCACCAGGGCTGGACTGGGACAAAAAAACGGCCCGGGCATTTTTTCCTTTTTAGCGGCCCAGGCAACTCAAAAGGTTCAAGGAGCCATATTTGACAAAAAAATAAATAAACAGCGTTGTATAAGGCTTAAATGAAGGTAACAGGGGCTGAAGCTGTATTAGCTACATTAGCTACATTAGCTACCTTAGCTACATTAGCTATATTAGCTATATTAGACTAATATCTAAATGACAAAGTAAAGGCTAAACACATAAAAACCATTCATGATTATCAAATGTGTGTTTTCACTGCAGCCTGTCCTGGAGAGAATGACGCACCACGTGACAACTCTGCTTTAAGTTTAACTTCAATTTTTTTGCCTTCATGCAATTGTACCAATAGAGTAAATAAATCTGCTTTTTGGCTCCGAGTTCACCTGCATCACTGTCTGCTCATATCCATCACAGGCTGAAGTTTGCTGGAGCTGAATGTCCTTAATGGCCTTTTCTTTCACCGTCTTTGCGAAGGTATTTGAAGTCTGAAAATAGGTGCTCTGACTTTATGATGAATTAATCTTTCAGTGAACAGTATTTAACGCTTCATTGTTCCTCCTGTTGCAAAAAAACTTCTCATTACATCGCAAACATGAAGCAGTCCTTCCTCATTGACTGAAAGCAAATGTTCATTCTCATTCTTAGTCCAGTCTTATCGACTCTCTCTTTATCTTTGGGATCCGTGCGCACACGCCGGTTTGTTTACAGCAGCGGCCGCCTGGCACGGGCCGCGTCACAGGATATGACGCACTACGTTGACAGAAATGCTAAAATTGAATATTACTTATACAAGTTTTTGCAGCATTGAAAAACGTTAAGTATGTTTTTTCCTCCTACAGAAACCACATTCAAACTAGAAATAAAATATAGCCCTCACACTCCATTTTCAGACATTTTTGTAAAGGCTCCGGGAGCCACTTTAGGGGCACTAAAGGTTGCCGACCCCTGGTTTATACAGTATGTGGAAGCAAATACTGTAGAGGATCAGCATGTCTGTAGTTTCACCAATAAAATAAAGTACAATAGTCTACATTAAACAGAGTAATAAACATGTCTCAGAGTGAGGGAGGTGGGCACAGACAACACTATTGTTTGTTACAGGGATGAGAATTGGTCAAAATTTCTGAAATGCATATTGTCAGCCATTTGCTGGCTCTAAATCTGTTTAATCTGTTCACAACATTTTACTTTTGGGCTCAAACATGAACTTTTAATGCAATGGAAAATGTAGGTACCCGAGCTTTAATTTAGAGGAGAGGGGAGACGTGGACTGTTTTCTGCAGCGGTGTATTTATTGGGTGCACAAATTACGAAAAGACATGCATGGTCCTGCGCGCGTTTATGGTCTTGGGTACATGGTCACGTTGCGGCTACGCGCTCACAGTGTTGTGTTGTGAGCGGTTCCCGGTGAGCGGTTCCTGCGTCCAGCTCAGAGCCGCTGGATGCGGGAACACTGCGGCCGCTGAGGTGGTGGAATCCCGTTCGAGTACATACAGCAGGTGCCCCGCGGACACGCGCGCTCCCCTCAAACATTTCTCAACGGATTTACACTTTTCACAAACATGTTTTTTGTATGAGGCAAACAGACCGGCCCAAATATGGGCATCGGCCTTTCGGGCATTGCCCGGTACGGGGACTGGCCTCCTGCTGGTGCCCAGAGTGAGAACCAAACATGGGGAGGCTGCGTTTCAGATCTATGCAGCTAAGATCTGGAACAATCTCCCTGAAAATGTGAGGGAGGCGTCTACTCTGTCAATGTTCAAATCCAGGTTAAAGACTGTTCTGTTTGCCTGTGCATACAACTGAAGGATTTTATCTCCA